ATATTGAATTTGACATAGAAAATTTGGTAGATGCAGGACTTATTTTTGAAAATGAGCAATTAAATTTTATTGATAACCAACAATGTGTGCCTTTAGAAGTTAACAGTACAAATCCTGAACCCGTTTGTTCCAGTGCAGATAACGTTCACACCGAAGCTTGTGTTTTGCCACTTAACGTTTTACCAGCCCACATCAATACGGATCTACAATGCTTTGAAAATAGAGACATCGTTGATGTCGATATCAATGGACTTATTTCATTAAATACTACAGATGAAGAACATTTAGCTACTGAGAGAGAATGTCGATCTACAGGATATTTTAGAACTACGCCTACAGATGAAGTAGATTTTCCAGTATTATCTGATAGTGATGATCCAGACTATAATATTGCACCATCTGATGAAAACAGTGAAGATGAAACGGATGCTGAAAAAAACATTGCCCCCCCCCGCAAAATGCTACTTACGAAAATCAGGAAGAAACTAATACAGAAGAGGCAGTCCACTTAAATAGATCGAAAAGAGCTCAACCAGAAAATTGGAAAAGGGAGAGGAATAAAGTTAAAAGAATGAAAGGTGAGAACTATTTAGGATACACTAGAACCAGAGATGGAAAAGTAAGCCATAACGTACAGCGCGATTCTAGAAAGTCAGTACATTGTGAGTCAGAATACTGTTTAAGAAACAAAAGATTTTGTAGCTCCATATCTATAGAAGACTCACAGAAACTTTTTTCAAAATTTTGGAGTTTATCGTGGGACGAGAAAAAAGTGTATGTCTGCTCTTTGGTAGATTATAACCCAAAAAAACGCAGCTATACTGCTGGCCCGTCTAGAAGATCCGGCACATTTATTTACCAATTAAAAGTTAATAATGAGAAACTTAAAGTATGCAAACGAATGTTTTTAGGCACTTTGGGACTAAAAGAAAAAATGGTACATTGTTGGCTAAAAAAAAGTAGCTCGGGAATAGTAGAAAAAACAGAAAGAGTGGGAAATAATAATGAAGCAAGTCGTGAAAACGAAAAAAGGAGAAATCACCTAAATACTTTTTTTAATGAATTGCCGAAGCAACCGTCCCATTATTGTAGAAAAGACAGTTCTAAAGTGTACTTGGAGCAAACTTTTCAAACAAAATCTCAGATCTATAAATTATACAAAGACAATTGTCTGGAGAACAATATCGAACCGTACACACTTTTCCCTTTTTACCGTGTATTTGAAGAGATGAATTTGTCGATTTTTCGCCCAAAGAAAGACGAATGCGATGTGTGTTACGGGTATAAGATAAAGCAAATATCTGAAGATGATTACAATGCACATTTTGCAAAAAAAACTAGAGCAAGGCTTGAAAAAAACAAAAATAAGGAAGAAGCTCTCCAAAATCAGGTTTATACATTCACTATGGACACACAAGCGGTAAAATTATGTCCATTTCTAAACGTGGGTGCTTTTTATTATAAAACAAAACTCCAAATTCATAATTTTACCATTTATAACCTAGAGTCTCATAGTTGCGTAAACTATGTATGGAATGAAAGTGAAGGTGACTTAAGTGCATCTATTTTTGCCACTTGCATAATAAAACATTTAAAAGAAAATTGTTTGGCCGATAAAAAACCCATTATTTTATTTTCTGATGGCTGTTGCTATCAGAATCGTAATGCTATATTGTCTAATGCATTACTGCATTTCTCAATCGAGCATAATGTTGTTATTGTGCAGAAATATTTGGAAAAGGGTCACACTCAAATGGAGTGTGACTCTGTCCATGCTTTAATCGAAAAGAAATTAAAATATCGAATTATACAACTACCAAGTGAGTACATTTCTGTAATTCGCGAAGCTCGATCAAAACCTAAACCTTTTGATGTCTGTTACCTAACTCACGATCAATTTATAAACTTCGATGATAAATCATCATTTATCTATAGGAAGAAATGTTAATGATCCAACGGTTACAGATCTTAGGGCCTTAATGTATACCCCAGAAGGAAAACTGTTTTATAAAATTAACTTTGATGATGACTACAAAGAATTACCACAAAGACCAAAACAAAATAACATTAAAATAGTTTTATTCCAAAGATTATTTCAAGAGAGACTAAAGATAAAACATTCTAAATGGTTGCATTTGCAGCAATTGAAAACGCATCTCACATCTGATACGCATTCTTTCTATGATTGTCTTCCACATCATATAGAATAGTTTCATAACTAGTAATGTTTGCTAATTTAAAGTATTTTTAAATTTTTAGAATTTTTCATTTTGTTCTTATTTTATTCTTGTTTACGAATATTTGTAATAAAATGTTTTGTTTATTAAAGTGATTAAAAATAATAAATATTTTTAAGTATCATCCTTCTTTTAATTTGGCGTAAGCCACAAAAATGCATTTTTATTGTAACAAATATGACGTATCACACATAATTAATTAATTTACCAAAAAAATTGTATTTAGCCATTGTAAATATGAAAAAATGTCACCAAGATTATATCTATACCAAAAATTATCACGTTTTTTTTTATTTTCACGTTCTATTATGTTTTTCTTGTTTACTGAAAATTTTACTTTTTGGGGTTACGTCCTATTACAAATAAGCCATCGATATTTTGCAATTTTACCCGCAAATCAGAAATGTTGCGCTGTGGATCATTTCTTAATTGCTGCTTCATCTTGTGCCATACAGTTTCGATTATATTTAGATCAGGGCTGCTGGAGGGCCAGTCAAGGACGGAAATATTGTTGTCCTGCAGCCACTTTCTTGTGGTCTTGGCTGTATGGCAGGAGGCGCCATCTTGTTGAAAAGTAAAGTTTTCATCAGGTGATAAAATTGGAATTGACACTAACAAATTGGTTTCAAGAATATTCTGATATTTTTCTGCGTTTACAATTCCGTCTATAAAGTGCAGTTTTCCAACACTGAAACCAGACATGCTTCCCCATACCGTAGCACCTGATGGAAATTTTATTTTTCTCTTTAGGCAGTCTTTGTGAAAGGCTTCATTTTTGTTTCTTATGACACGTGATCGATGGTCACCCACGCAAACATCAAATTTTGATTCATCGCTAAAAATGATTCTTTTCCAGTCTTCAAAAGTCCACATTGCCCGTTCCTTTTCCCACGCTAATCGTCATTTCTTTTGTTTTTCCGTCAGCCACGGCTTTTCTTTTGCCTAAACCAATGATTTCACTGCATAAATATGAGATTTTCCTTAAACGTAACCTACGTACCTTATAAAAATGTAAACCAGACTTATGGATCCAGCGACGACACGTTTGTCGTGTAACATTTCCAATTATTTCTTCATTGCATTTTGCTATTATTTCCCTTACAGTACTTCGGCGATCAGTTTTACAAATGCGAACAAGAGATCTTTGCATTCGGGAAGTGACTTTGCGTGGCCGACCAGCACCATGTCTTGAAATTTGAGTTGAACCCGTGTTTCTCCATATTTTTTCACAAAATCTGACACCGTGGACTTTGCGACATTTATTTGTTTAGCAATATCCCGAATGGTTTTTCCTTGGTTAAACAGTTTTACTATTAATTTTATAATTGCACCATTATTTGTTGCTTTACCACGCGACATTTTAGAGCCAATTGATAATCTAAATGCGCTAGTTCAGTGATGATGTAATTATGGTTCCACTGACAATTAAGTGACAGTAGATTTTTTGAGTGCGTTTTGTTTACCTAAATTATATCGTTTTTTTTTTTCACTTTTATAAATATATTCCTAAAGTAAGTAGATAGCATGTATCAAATATACAATCGTTCAGTTACCAATTACATACCTTTAAATTATTTTTTATGACCTGTAAACAATATTTTGAAATAAAATAAAAACAGTAAAAACGTATATGTCAAATTTATTGAGGTTTTTGTTAAAAGTTTGGTTAGAACTAAATGTCAGTGGAACCAAAATGACATCACACTGAACTAGCGCATTTAAAATGTCAAAATAGAAACACTTTTTTTTGTTTCCATGGCTTGCTATTATTTGTTTTACTAACGTGTCCGAACATTTATGTGTCAGCAAATATTGAATTTTTATCAACATTAGTTTAGTTTTATTAATCAATATTAGTTTATTTGAAAACAATTTCATAAATATGATGTAAACAATACATATTATGTCTTATAAATGAAAAACATATGATATTGAATCCCTTAAGGAAATTTTCAAACTTTTTATCAAAATTAGTTGATGTCCGAACATTTTTGTGTTAGGACTCGTAAAATGCACTTAAGTGATCACTGTTATGAATCTCTTCAATTAGATCTTGGAATAGTCACAAATCCTGCTCTTCTCTTTTAAGCAACATTGGTCTACATGTACCTCCGAGATCTACCTTTGAGGAAGTTGCTCATAGAACAGACTATGGATATCATTCCTTTCTGCCCAGAACAATAAAACTGTCAAACGATATTGCGCAAGACTTATATTTCTTTGTGGACATTAATTTATTTACAAAAAATTTAAGATCATTGTCCTCTTAATTTAATTATGCTTATACTGTTTTCTTTTTTTAGTAATCTTTTATACTTGTTAATTTTATACTGGACTTTTGTAAATCATACCAGATATATTTGTAAATGGACTTACAATAAATAAATAAAAGTGGACCATGTTTTATCGGAACAAACTGCCTTTATTTTTTGAAAAACTATCGGCTGATAAAATTCTGATGATATTAACAGGACGCACCCGTAGAAAAAAAAATATAGTGTGCCTTAAAAATAAAAAATAATTTATGCAAAATTGTGTCAAGATATTTTTTTGTGCTGTATATGCAATTAAAAAAATGAAATTTGTTATTAAATGTACATTTTAAAGGGGTCACACAATATATCTGATGATGGCCGAAACGTTAGACAACAGGATAAAGTTAGCATAGATTACTGAGTTTTCCTTATCACCTATTACTCCTCACTCCACCTAAAGGAGAACTCCTTTTTCGATTTACAACATACTATTTTCTTCAAATTCAAGGACTATGGGCGACAAATTGGGCGAAGCCAAATCCTCTGGTAATCTAGGCAACACCCTAAAAGTCATGGGCAGATTTGACGAAGCCGTCGTCTGTTGCAAGCGCCATCTGGAACTGTCCAGAGAACTAGGTGATAAATTGAGCGAAGGTAGAGCTCTCTACAATTTGGGTAATGTATTCCATGCGAAGGGAAAGCACATAGGACGGGTTGGTAATAAGGATCCCGGTGATTTTCCTGAAGACGTCAAAGGGTGTTTGTTGCAGGCCGTGACTTACTATGAGTAAGTATATTTTTAGTATGCATATACAATAAATTATGTGGGTGGTTTGGTAAGTATTTAAATTCAATCAGAAAACAAGTCCCTTTCATTCACAGCTTTTCAACCAATCTGTAATTTTTTTTATCTATCCAGGGAAAATCTGACTTTGATGCAAGATCTGGGAGACGTAGCAGCCCAAGGCAGGGCTTGCGGTAATTTAGGCAACACCTTCTACCTCTTGGGCGATTTCGCACAAGCCATTCACTACCACGAGGAAAGATTGTCCATAGCAAGACAATTTGGAGATAAGGCTGCCGAAAGGAGGGCGCACAGCAATTTAGGCAATTCCCACATATTTATGGGTCAATTCGAAGAAGCAGCGCACCATTACAAGTCAGTAACATAAGTTGTAGATGCTAAAAACAATCGAAACATTCAAAATATTTTCTTTTAGACGTACGCTATCGCTGGCACAAGAATTGTCTGACCAAGCTATTGAAGCGCAGGCTTGCTACAGTTTGGGAAACACATATACTTTACTTAGAAACTACGATGCTGCCATTGAGTACCATTTGAGGCATTTGCTAATAGCTCAGAATCTTTCAGATAAAGTGGGCGAAGGTAGGGCTTGTTGGTCACTGGGAAATGCCTACGCTTCCTTAGGTAATCACGAAAAGGCTCTCAGTTTCGCCAGGAAGCATTTGGAAATCAGTAAACAGGTAAGGGCAAACAGGAAATTGTAAGATCGTGATTGTGTGGTATAGCGAGGAAAATTCAGGATGTTTTTTTAAATACATGTATATGTTAATAGTACAATCTACAGTGTGTCTACTTAACTCGGTATCACATGGGAAACTTTTTATTATTAGTTTCATGCAAAAAAGTTGTTCTTCCTAAGGAGTTCTCCATGGTATAATATCCAAAATTCAAACATCAGATATTACATTTTTTCAGTCATGTACAGGTTCCTCAAAAAATATAAACTTTATGCAAGAGTAAAGTACCTTTATTTTTAACAAAATCGAAATTTTTTATTATTTTTCATAAAACTAATAATACAAAAATTTCCCATATGGTGCCCACTTGAGTAGGACATACTGTATATTACATGTGTGAAACACCTTGCATTGGAAACAGTGTCGTAGATTCTTATGGAAAAGTGTTTGTTATGTGATTTTTTTGTAGCTGGGCGATTCTATGGGCGAGGCCACGGCCAAAATGAACATCTCGGACTTGAAAAAGATATTGGACATACCCGAAAGTCCCAATGACGATACTGATTCCATGAAATCGGACTGTTCGTCTAATGTAGGTCAATCACAAGTACATAGGGTGAGACGTGAAAGCATGGAACAGCTTAGCCTTATAAAGGTAGCAGAGCGCTTTGCTTGCATTTTTCTTTTCTTTATTTTTTATTTTTAATATACAAGGTGGGCCGCCGCTAACGCATCGGTCTGTAAAGCCAAAACTAATTACTTTTTTCACATCGAGATGTGTACCAGAAAAGGCAACAATTTAAAAATAATTTCAAATATACAGTGTTTATTAAATGAGTATTTTATTTTATATTTGAATTGCCCTCGCTTTTCCCATTATAACAATACCAAATAATATGGGATTACAAGCTATAACCAGTGTTATATGAAAATCGTATTCAATCAATCAAAAAGTGCTTTATTGTCTGAAGTAAAAAAACTAATTGACAAAGCTGGTAGAAAAGAAAACATAAATACGAAAGATACAAAAAATATATATATAAGATATAAGAATTTGAAAAAAAATTTAAAATAGAGTTGTGCATATAAAAAGAAATAATACATTCAAAATCAAGAAAAAAAAAAACAATATAAACCTAACGTACATTTAAAAAGTCAAAAAAGTTAAAGGATATTTGTCATCAGCCAGTTAAAAACCTTACAAAGCCTTAATGCTTTGGTCAAGTTTGAAACAGTTTAAAATAAAAATAAATTATTAGAAAATAAAAATAAATGATTAGAAAATAAGAAAAGAAAAAAATTGTTTATGTTTATACTCTTATGAGCCTTTAAAATATTCTGCCAGCGTATAATAAGCCTTCACAGACAGAAAACGTTTAAGTTGCCTCCTAAAATTCTTCTCAATACCTATCTGTCTTATTTCCATAGGCAAGTGGTTAAATATTTTTTTACCGTTATAGATAATTGATTTTTGTATAAGAGGAGATGATGGTATTGGGACAGGCAGGAAAAAAGTCAATCTAGTGCCATGCACAGAAGCTTCACGAATATAATTCTTAGATTTTCTGAAAATCAAGCAGGCCATTTCCAGTATATACAAATTATATACGGTTAAGATTTTATATTGTAAGAAGAGTGGCCTGCACGATGTAGTAGCAGAAACTTTGCACATGTTTCTTATTGCCCTCTTTTGAAGAATAAATATCTTATTAAGCGATTCCTGTAACGCTGAGCCCCAAAAACATATTTCATAACGTAGGTGCGATTCCACAAGAGAGAAATAAACATTCCTTGTCACAGCAAAATTCAAATTGTGTGCCACAGATCTAATGGCGTAACATGCTGATGATAACTTTTTAGTTAAGTTGTTTATATGACGTTCAAATTTAAGATTAGAGTCTATGTAGATTCCCAGAAACTTGGTCTCCGCATTATTTTTAATCGTTAAGTTACCTAGGAACATATTATTTAATTTACATTTAAAAGTCATTATACTGGTTTTATTGATATTAAATCTTAAATAATTAGCATCACACCAATTTTTAACCTCAGTTATATCTGAATTAATTATAGCTGTTAATTCCTGTTCATCACTTGATTCCCACAAAATTGTTATATCATCAGTAAATAATGTAAAAAATCCCCTTATATTAATATTTGTTATTGATTTCAATGTCCTGTATACTGCAAAAGAAACAATTAAAATCCATTTTTTTGTGGTAAATGTTAGTCAAATCTGTACAGGGTGAGTCAAAACTCAAATACATTTTTTTTTTCAAATTGACTACCCAGTGTTTTATATCACCATTCAAAAATACCCTAAACTATTCTTTAAACTTAGAATAAAGTAGGTATTATAATGGAGTGAGTTTGTGGTTGGTTGCTATTGGTATTTATTTTTTACTGAATTCAAATATTAAATTCTAATTACTAATTAACTAGCGCAGCGACCAGTTATTAAAATGAAAGTATTTCGTGAATTCTTTTTTTCATTTAAATTTCAAAATCTCCCCAAATTATTAACTTTAGGTATAGGGTATGCTTAACTGAAATGAAAGTATAATTAGGGAACATTTGAATTATGCTGGAAAATCCAAAGGGGTCAATTAAAAAAAATGGAAAATTATATTTGAGTTTTGACTCGCCCTGTACAGATTTATTTCGAATTGAAAAAATTGTGCATTGTCATAAATGTTGACTAACATCGAAAAATTTTACTGCAAAAAAATTCTCTTTCAATTGTTTTTTTTGCAGTGTACAAGTCATTAAAATTAATATGATTTTCATATAAAACTGGCTATAACGTGTGAATTACCCTGTGTAATCCCATACTATTTGGTATTCTTATAATAATGGAAAAAGCTGGGGCAATTTAAATATAAAATAAAATACCATTTAATACCAATTTTAAAAAATATAACTTTGATATATATCACTTTTGTGGAAAATTCTGTATATAAAATTATTTTTAAATTGTTGCCTTTTCTGATATACATCTCCCTGTGAAAATATATTTTAAAATAAGCAATTAGTTTTGGCTCTATAGACGGAGATGTTACCGGTGGCCCACCCTGTATTTTTATGCTGCCTGCAAAAGTTTATTTTGTCAACTCCACTGATTTTATTTTTTAACACAAGTATTGTCGAATTCAAGATAGTTATAAACTATAGGAATTTCTTTGAAGGTAAAAGAATTTGGCATTTTTACATTTTTGAAAATATTGTGCAGAAAGTACATAATTATGTTGTTCTACTAATGTGCGTAAAGTACATACGTTACGGTGTAAGTAATATTTTACTCTTTTCACTCGTGCTTAAAGTATGCCAAAATTGTACATAGTCACAAAATAAAAAGTTTTATTTAAAATTACCATTTAAGCTATCTGTTTAAGTTAAGTAAATTATTTTTGCTTATATTTAGTGTGCAACAAATCAACAGTTTTTTTTTAATTATCAATTTTTTTTTTATAAATGTTAATTTGAATCTTGGTAGACAATATGTACGGTAGTAGAAAAAATGTATTCAATTAGTTTGTAAAGGCATTTTTTTTAACTCTTGTGTTTGTCTCATTCTCCTTCGGTTCACGCGACAATATTCACATTCGTCAAATAAAAACGACTTTACACGCCTCGTTGGCGCCGACCTGTACCATTTGTGATACAAATACAATTTTCCCTAGGGCTGGGCTTGGTCATAAATGGTACATGTGCATGTTGTATTTTTGTACATTCTAAATTTTCTACGGTTATTACCAGGATTATGTTATTGGGTGTACAGCTGCTATAAAGGTATATTTATACCTAGGTTCAATCGTTTTGGTATTAAGTTTTAATAATGGCGGTTTTTAATGTAATAAAGATATTAGAGACTTGAAGTGATCCTATAAACGTAAACCTATGCGTGAAAATTGACATCTACGCATGCGTATTTAAATATCCTTTACGTTCACGTCTACGTACATACGTAAGCTTACGGACTCTGGCGTATGTACGCAACGCAAACAAAATAACCTCTTTTTAATTGGGGAAGAAGAAATCCTCATGTTAATTGTCATTGTCTGTCATGACACGTAAATGTCACGATGCGCTTAACAACTTCAACTCAAATTTTGGACTTCAACGTAAACATATATTTCTGCGTTTACGTTAACGTACTGGAAATACTTCAACTCTCTAATGATACAAAAAGTTAAAATCTTTTATTATCAAAAGAGAACTTTAATATAACTAAAAAAATCAGCAAGGAAACAATAATCAACTTCATAACAGGAAATCATTCCCGTAGCCGTCATGTGCCACGGATGGTACATGGAAAAAATTTCAAAAAACAGGCAAAAACAAATCTAATCATACAATAAAAATACAACTAACTTTTAAAAATATTTAGATTTTTATACACTGACGACTCTGGGTTGGGTCTGTCATTATCAGTGTCGGCGCCAACTTGTAAATTACATAAATACCAATTTTTCCCATACATGACGTAAATTCAATAAAGTGTCCCAAAAATGTAAATTAATTTTCTCTCCCTTTATTTCATTTTTATTAATAAAACGTACTCTTACATATATATTTTCTTTGTAAATATCGTCTTTCAATTAATTACATTTTCCTTTAATTTATTTTGTAATATAAAGCATGTTTTGTTACATTAAAATCTGTCTAAAAAGATCTGTCTGTTTTGAAAATGAAAATAACCTAATAGCTACAGTAAGACAGGTATAGCTAAAGCCGCCAAAGTCAGTGCACAATGAATATAAGATCGGAGCTGAGTTTTTCCGGTTTATCGATATGATCACTTACATCTTAATACATTAGGTATGGTCGAAGTTGTGCACTTGGAGACATTGCCAAATATAGAAATGAATCACATTCCGAGTGAAATTATATATACAGCATATATTACTGAATTACACTGATATTCAAAAGTTTTTCTTGGTGAACAAAATTGATATATGACAATATGCCTTTTAACTTAAACTTTTTTTCTATCATACGCCCCATTGCAGTTACCATGACGAATATACTATTTCAGTATTTTACATATACAGAACTACATAACACTAATACATTTGGCAACGCTACATGACTCGTGTTACACGTTGGCGCATGGCGCGGTTTTTGTTGTTTCTGTCGATCTGTACACATGCAATGACTAAATTATGATTTACATTACTACTTGTCTATAATGCTAAACAGGCAGAACTTTCTGACTTTATGTGTTTCTATCAACAGCATGTAAAATGTGCATGTTGATGTTTTTGAACAATGTGCGTAACTAGAGTTTTAATATGAAAATAATTTCAAACTCAATTGTCCCAAAGATATAAATGAAGAAATAAACTCAAAAACTGTGTTGCAGAAAACGTTCAACGACTGTTTCCCTACAGATTACAAGTGGCGGTCATTTGGGAGCCATGGCCCACCTCGGCCTATGCCGAACTGAAAAAATAGTAACAACAAAGAAAATATAGTAACGAATATAAATTTAACAAATGCTGTTAAATTAATTTGAGAAATTATTTATACGCAGTTCAAGTAAATACTTTTACAACAAATCGCGTATAACATTTTGTGTTTAAATTTCGTAACATACGTTGCTCATTTTAAACATACCCAAACCGTCTCTGTTCATAAGATAACATCTGCAACAACCGCCCGCTTACCAAATATTTCCATATTCCAATAAACATCTTCCATCTCGCAAATAACAATCTTCATCTCGTTATAACCCAATAAAAATATTTTGAAACAAAAACCTCGTCAACCGTCATTATCTTTGTCACCAAGCGGGCGAATTCATTCTATAATAAGCCGAGAGATGGGGTGATGCATCTAACGCCTAACACAAATGTCAGCCAGACAGACTATTGCTCTTCAACCATCAACCACAAGTCTGACGTTCTTTGCACAATCCATTTCTCTCAGACTTAGATACATTCAAATCACATCGAATTTGCCTCCGACTGCCAAACTGATAACTTTAATTTTCGAATCTATCATAATTCGTACCATACCTACTGGCACAGACCCGAAGTAGATAAATTTAAACAAGCTTGTGGTGCTAAACTTCTAAAAGCAATTGGTTTAACCTTGTTAATAGATAACAATTTACTTGGCAATGATGGGATATATCTACTTGAAATAAATACACAACTCAAACAGGTATCATGAGGAAGGTGTTTTGTTTTGAGGGCTATCAATTTTTCTTACGACAGTATAACAAAATGTAACAGCAAGTTAACATAAATATAAATTGTTTGAAGCATATTTTAGATGAAAATAGTTCTAGACGCAATAAAAAGCATATGAGCTTTTTTGCCTTAAAATTGAAGCTGGAGAAAGTCTTAGAAATCCATCTAAGATGCCACTGAAACAAGCTACATAAATATATTAGCAAAACGAAAGAGAAGGTTAATATTTTACCACAAAGAGTTTTTTTTTTAAATATTCTGCATGCCAAGAAAATAAGATTATCATATAAATATCTTAGATCGGATGTTTAGGATAAAAGTTTTTTGCAAAACTATTTCATCGTAATATGCTCAAGACCTAAATTTAAAACTTTCAAGAAAACATTTTCGCTACCAAAGTCATAGTCAATAAAGAATTAATTTCCTACCTGCCTTTCATTTAAGCTATCATTTAATATAGGTACATATGACATGGCCCTGATTACCCCTCCCCCTTCTTCGCATACCGATATGACCGCTGCTGTGTACAGCTTCCATTAGAGATTTGAAGTGAGATGTCCATTTCTTGCTAAAGGATTCTTAATAACAACGAAACCGATTCAAGAATGAAGTTCCAGAGAAGTAGGTAGTTGAAAATTGTTGTTAACGATTTATATGACACAGTATTTAAGTTTTTCTCTTCAATGTCAAATTGCCACTCAATTAACCTCTTCTCAAAAATATACATATAAAATCAAGGTGGCAAAGGTTTTTTTGGTTTGGTTTTTGACAGGAATATTAAACAAAAAAAAAACAAAGTAGTATTTTGCTTGATTTTCATTTATCTATAGTTGACCCCTGACGGTAAGCGCCCGGGATTGTCCCTGCCGCAAAAAACCTCGCCGCCATCATCGAGAACCGAAGACGATTCGTTCTTCGATTTGCTGTCCCGCTTCCAATCGAAGAGAATGGACGACCAACGGTGTTCCTTGACCATAGATAACAAGGAGAACACGAACGTGGTGAACATCCCATATAATAACGACACTCCAGAAGATTTGATCGATATGATAGCCGGAATGCAGAGCAAGAGGATGGACGAGCAGAGGGTGTCTTTGCCTCATTTACCGGGTAAATATATATAATAGAGAATTGAGGGACGTCTATTGTAATAATTATCATCTTTCAGGTTTACAATCGAACACTCGTCAACGTCTTTCGGAACCCAAAACAAACAGCATCCCCGACGACAATTTCTTGGATCAATTGGTTAGATGTCAGGGCAGTCGGCTCGAAGACCAGCGATCGCCGTTACCGGCGGCGGCTGTCGACGCCGAGACCGACCCGCCGCCGCCGCCGGCAAAGAGTGGCTCCACAGTCCCGGACGAAGACTTCTTCTCGTTGATTATGCGGTTCCAATCAGGCAGGATGGATGACCAAAGGGCATCGGTGCCGCGTCGGGAAACCAGGTAAGAATATCATATTTATTTGTTACTAGCGGACCCGGTAGGCAGACCTTGTCTGCGACAGATCTAGATCTATAGTTCTGTAGATCTATAGCTAAGAATCATCCAGGTGACCATATAAGTACAAATAAAACATCAGAATCGATCGATTCGTTTAGGAAGAGAAGAATTACAAACATACGTGGGAATTTTATATATAAAAATTTTGCCCCACGTTGGGCGCCAATTCTATTAATCAGGTTCATATTACAGAATGGCCAACGGCAGCATACCGCATCCGCCCGATACCGTCAACAACAATGTCCGAAGTTCGTCGAGCAAGAAAAAAAAGTAATACAGGCATTTCTTTTAGCGTTTAGGTAGGTATTCAAAAAGAAAACAAAAATGTTGACTTATTAGAAAGATACAAAAAGTTTTATTCAATTGTTGGGACTGAATTTTGAAAAAAGCCGTTATTAATAATTATTCTATATAGGATTTTAAAATGAAAACATTCCAGTATGTTTTTCACTCGATTTTCACGATTTTTATGAATGCATGTGCATGTATAGAAATTTTTATACAGTGCGGTTTTGAAATAAATGTATATGATTAGATGACCTTGAAATTCTCAAATTTAAATATCAACTATAGAAATTTACCCAACAACATTGATTTTTAAAACAATATAGGTATTTTTGAAAAATAATGTTTGTACATTGGAGAAAAGTCAAAATGTTAACCAGTTTCAATATGTACATGTATTTCAAAAACTTGAATAGGGATCGTCCCTTGATTTTGATCGAACTTTCTTTCTCGCGCGACAATAGTTATTCATACTTAGTGTTTGTAAAGGAAATAAGTGCGCAAACTTCATACAATATTTTATCTACGACCTACGACCATTGTTATGCCGCGCACGATTTTAAGCCATTTTGCATGGTATAATGTAAACATTCGAAATTATATCGAACTCTAAAATCGTAACGTTTTATCCAATCTTTAACTTCGACTGAAATTCGGGACGTTCCCGTATATATTTATAATGAAACTACTGTTTTTTAAATGATATTTAAACATAAAAGTCTTACCCTTCTCATCAATGTATATCCCCCCTATTGTATTCTTAATTTATTTAAATGACATTTATTATATTTATTTAGCGTTAATTTTTGTTTGTTGCAATAACCCATAGGATTAAACAGCTGGTCTAATGGATGCACATAGCAAATGATCGTTCGATTTTAAAACCTTACATTTTTTTCGGAATTAACTGGGGATATCTGTCGTTGTGTGCCTATTTGTAATTCACATCACACAGCGCAGACAGACTGTACGATATACATACAGACGGTCTACAGTCACGATACACATACCATACACCGAGAATTACCCCCACGAAGCCAGGCGGCCGTTTATTGGCAAAGTTGTTTTCCTATAAGTTGATCTATGTATTTAATATGTTCTCTGCTTGCATTAAATCCAGTTTTTACTGTGTTTGACTTTCCTATTTTAATCCCCCTTGAACCCAGTTTGGAACCTTTTGTCATTTTTCATTTTTCTGCAGTGCTACTTATCGATTTTAGGGCCAATATAAATTTCTTTTTTGAATTAAACATATCCTAGATGTTCCTTAAACCCACTTTTTCTGGGTCATTCAGTTTGTCCAATATAGATATGATCATTTGCGAAAGTGTGCTCCCTAGTTCCTTTCAGGATTGACCTGAGCTGCTCCCTTTGATATTGATAAAAACTAATAATTAATGTTAAGTTTTTTTTTGCATTATACAGCATAACTAAAAAAGTTGGCAACAAATGAGAAATTTATTTATTAATTTTACAAAAAAAAAAAACTTCATAAAAAGTTATGAATCACACAGAAATCAATAATCAACTTATCACAATTTATGATATGTTGTACTTGTCAATTCTATGACTAGTTTTTGATATAGAGGGCGTTGAAGTTGGAAATTGACAATTTATTAAAAAGGGCATGCCTGTTAACAAACTACTATGATTGCAGATATTTTTCGAGAATAATGCATTACTGATATCAAAAAATATTTCCAGCATAACATATGACGTAAATTATTATTTACAAGTTGAGTCAAAAATTACTGAAAATCTAATTTTAATTTTTACTTTATCAGAATATTCTCCAAATTAATATAAGACGAAATAACCTTGGCTTAATAATCAAAATTAGGGACCATTACATTCTATACAGGGTTAGTCAAAAAGTTGGTAGACCCTGAATGCTATTTTTAATAAATTTTACCTCTTTAATATTGCGTGTTAATAATAGATATTATACCATTTTAAAATATGTATAGTTTATAAACTTTGTACAGTATGATTCAAAAGATATGTAACGAGAAAAACCGGGAAATGATGATTTTTCCATGTCTCGCCATATATTTAAAAATTTCATAGATTAGATTGCCTATTTTTTGAGTTTGCTAATAAAGTGTTAAAGTTATGTGAACTTAAGATGAACAGTTTTTGAGATATGAGGTATAAAACATGGTTATGATAGTAAATGTACTACTCATTCCCAGAGGTAGCTTTTTTTACATAATTGCAATAAGTATTATATGATTTCGTTAAACGCTAGATGTCGACCAGAAAGTCCATGAAACAGAACTCATTCCTATGATTAGTTTGTGATGTACAGGGTATTCAAGTTGAAAAAAGCAAAAATTTTAAACTAATGAAATTCTTATAATTTTTATGTATTCAAGGTTTTTTATGCTATTTCGATGATATATAAAAATTACGAATAAATCAACAGAATGTTGATTTAAAGTATAATTTTACTTTGGCACGAATATTTCACTCAGGCTGAATTTGCTTTGGCTCAGTTATTGATAATAATGAGAAATTTAAACATTTATACAGAGTGGGTCAAAAGGTTGATCGCCTACTTTTTTATTAATTTTGATTTACCTGTTAATATCTAACATTAATTCATTTAAAAATGTATAAATTTTTAAATGACATAGTGGGATATTATTGAAGAACATTTCGAAAATTTGATATTTTTTGCGAATCGCCCTGGTGAATTTTTGTATTTTTTTCTTATTATCGTATGATGGTGTAATCGAGGTGTTTCGGAATTTTTCTTAAAAGTCGATATTATCTAAATAATCAATTTATTCCATACTTTTGCATCATACTGTAGAATTTAAAATCTTGTAGATTAAGACTGAATATTTTTTTAATGTCTAACGTGTAAAGAGACCATAGAATACTTCTTGCAATTATGTACAAAAAAGTACCTCTAAGAGTAAGTGGTGAGAAAATGAGTTGAGTTGGTAATGTCTGTAATACCTCATATCTCGAAAACTGATCATATTAAGTTAATATATAAGTTTTAGCAAACTCAAAATAAAGTAAATGTAAAAATCTTATGCAATTTAACCGACGAAGTTTTTAAATATAGGCATGAAAAAGCTTTTTTCTACGACCCAGTAACGAAAATCTACAAATTTAAAAAATTATTTTAAGTTATTAAGATAAAATGACTAATTTAAAAATAATTTATGATTTTTACTAATTTATGAAATAAAAAACATTTAATTAGTCTCCAATCCTAGATTTGATCTCGGGAACTCTCAAATGACAGCCAAATGCCCTAGTCTCGGCTCCATCGGCACACTTATCATTTTAATTTTAATACTCGTAATTAAATTGATTTCATATAGTTTTATTAAAAATTATTATTTATTTATAAATATAGACGATATAATAATAGAAATGCTGTTATTTGAAGGGGTTATAATACAAATTATCTAGTAAATTGACTTTAAACTTAACTAGCCACAATAAAATGTGCAAATAAGTTAAGTTTGTAATTTTTATGGGGGAGGTTTGTTCGGGGAATGCTACTAGAAGACTTGGCAGAGCTAAGCAGTCAAAACAAGGTGACCCTAGCCTGGGTGCCAGGCCATGAGGGATATCAGGGCAACGAAAAGGCCGACGAATTAGACCGAGAAGGCTCAGATAAGGCCATGATAGGCCCTGAACCCTTCTGTGCAGTTGCTAAGGAATGGTGGAACAACTATCCAAGACTGAGACAGGCCAAATCATTAGGATAAAAGTAGGCCTTCTTACTGGACACTGTCGCCTCAAAAGGCACATGAGTGTCATCAATTCAGCAGAAGAAGCAACTTTGTGCAGGTTCTGTGAATAAGAAGAGGAAACATCTTTCCACGTCCTTGCCAATGTGAAGACCTGGCTGGAATGAGGTTTCTAACATTGGGCGAAGAAAAGCCAAACGCATGTAACTACATGCGGGAGCCACTGTTAAAGCTACTAAGTCTAATAAAAAAGACCAAGCTAGACGACATACTCTAAAACAAACGGAGTCTCACAGCAGATCTGAAAAGGTCGCGGTAAACAAGGACAAACAATGTCCAACTCCTAATCTAATCTAGCCACAATAAAATCTGCAAATAGGTTAAGTTTGTAATTTTTGTGGGGGAGGTTTGTTCGGGGAATGCTACTTGTATGTATCGTAAAATAAAACTTTACTAATATCCTATCTCAAGATATTTCAGAACAAATTAAACTCAAAAAACCCTATAGGTTGTTATTTGCTTCATTGACACAATGACAAACATTTTACTAGATATTTTTATAATCAGGGTCAATAATTATAGTACTATCATCCATATCGCAGTTTCAATCTGATTCCTGCACGACTCTAGAAGTTAAAACTGTTGCATTATGGGGTTCTCGGCTTGTGAGTTTTATTCAGATTTTTTCAAAATCATAAGCATTATTTCCTTATAGAACTTGATTTTTACTAAAGTTTTATGTTATATCGCTTCTTGTTTTTGATTGATGATTTTGTTTTAATTTCAACACCCATTTTTATTCATAGGCTTCGTCCCCTTACATAGCCTGATGTTTCCTAAAAATTAAAAATTTTCCGTTTTTGATTTAAGATCTTTTTTAAACTCAATTCCCTTGACCCCCATTTTTATTTAGATTTTTTTTCAAAATCAATAGGCTTCCTCCCTTTATATTTTCTTGAAAATTTCAAGTCGATATCATTTTTCATTTTTGACTTATCGTGCGAACAAAAATCGTGACATCGTGACATTTTTAAACGTTGTTTAAAATTTAATGAGAAGGATTTTGGTACAAACATTTTTAAATTTGTATCAGTATTAAAAATTTTGGTTTCGCAAAAATAAACCTATAATAATACTCTTCATAGACTAGTATATTACATAAGAATCATAGGCGAGAATGTGAGAATATCCTAGAACTGGAAAAGAATATAACGGGTACAAGTAAACTTATAGCCTTTGCATTCTAAAGATAACTACAATTCTATTCACATGCTTT